TTACATAACAGAACTAACTTGAGCGTGTTCGGAGCTCTGACTGGAAACGTGCTTCAGTCATTTTCAGCATGTATTGTATACACTCCCTAAATCAGCGTAACTAAAATATTATATAACCTTACAGAGACCTAATTGTGCATTAATCCACAATATATATAATAATATATATGAATGACAAAACGGTTTTACACACAACTGATGTCGTTCGATCATTTCTCGAACAGTGCTTCGCTGACGACCTCTGTTCGAACCACAACGCTGTAAATGCTTCACCCACGAACTTGTTATACAAATAATCGCCAACAGAACCTAAACCCATCATTGATATATATATATATATATATCACGATTTTGGATTGTCTCATTGATATATAACACATTAATGTGATTCGTGTGTGTCCTACTTAGAGGAGGTTGGCAATTTTGGCGTGTGATAAGGACTTCTTCTTCTTCTTCTGAGGTGAGCCTCTGGTGTTAGAGAAGGTTTTGATTGTTACCGTCGGAGGCGGCTAGTTTATTGTGCACCCCATACCCATCCTGTGAGCGGTAGCGCAAAAAGCATTACAGAAGGCACAAAAGATTTTTATCAGACCTCATATTAGATTATTACATAAACAATTTCATCTATCCTTCACACCTTATAGTTACAATGTCAGTTACAGAGAAAGCGCTATTTCAAGAGCAATATATTTACAGTGAAGGTGTTATGTCTAATCCCAAGTCTCCCTTTTTGTAAAGTGAGAAGTTGCCTTCATTTTAATATATTGTGAACCTGGGGTCTATTTATTTCTAATCCTATCCTCATAACTTTTCTTGTGGCTGGATTAAGTATACCAGCAATTTTTAATAGCACCTTCTGAGGCAGTGTAGATGGTTCAGCAATGTTTCACTGTCTTCCTCTGTCAGATTCTTCTCATTACTTCTCATCAGCAAAAAAAATTATATTAATACACCTAATTTCTCTATTATGTCCTTTACGTATATTATAAACAGGATGGACCCCTAGTTCCGACCCTTGAGGAACACCAATCACCACTTCTCTTTATTCTCACACCTTCCCCTTACCCCTGACCCTTGACCTCCTTCCTGAATGATGACCTCAAGCGCTCTTCGAGTCTCTTATGTAATTTCAATAGCAGTCTCTTGTGAGGTACATTGCTAAAGTGTTCCCGCCAGTCAAAGAAGATGCAGTCTGCCCAACTCTTTCTCAGGATATCCCTTTGATGAATCCATGTTGATGTTTGGAGACACCAAAAACCCAAACCCTATACGTACTAGTGGCTTTAGGTATTGTATGTACTATATAAATCCAACATTATGTATGGAACTCAATGTATGTACCTTTACCTGAATAAAAAAAATCTAAATCTAAATTCATCTTTTCTAAGCATTCAGCGAGTGTCCTTCGAATCAACATCTAATACCCAGAAATAGATGCTCGCTAAAAATACCAGTGAGTCATTGGGTGCAAGAGTGATCGTACGTGCGTGCAGAATTGCCTGAATATGCACACTCACATATTTATGTGGGGGTTTCTTACCTGTCCGACACATTGGGAAAACCTTAACCCTCACCAGAATGTTCAGAATATTCCTTGTTGTGTGATCCAGTTCCCGCCAGCAGACTATAAACAGCAGAAAACCGCCGCCTTTCATCCCCGGTACAACGTGGACTGAAATCGTGTGATGACTGACTGTAGCGTTAAAACCCGTCGGACTAACACGGCGCCTGGTGCTGTCTCTTAGTCTCTGTGCTCGGCTCCAACACCCATCTCAGCCACAGATAACAGCAATAACAACTTCCACAGACGAAATTGGTTTAGCAATTTGGCTAATAAAACAGCTTACTGGCCAAACAGTAGGTAATACTTTAGTACACACACACAGAGCAAGCACACTAACGTGACTGCACCAATGAGGAAAAAAATCCATAGTAGCAGTGATGAGGGCTCGAATGTATGTGGTTGGTGTCCCCCCACGCACACGGTTCTAGCGACTAGAGCACGACATGGTATAAAGATTGCAACCCTGGAGTTCTTCTGAACACACAAGGATTACACCTTTATCCCTGAACACACAAGGATTACATTTTAGTCCTCATTACACAAGGATTACACTTCACCCCTGAACACACAAGGATTACACTTCAGCCCTGAACACACAAGGATTGCACTTTAGCCCTGAACACAGTCAGGAGGAAAGTACACTCTCGGTACACATACACGCCCCATCCTCCTGATATAACAGTACTTATAGTAACCATTTGCTTGAAAGTACCAATATCACCTGATAGACCAGAATATAAGTAGATTCTTGTGCTATTAATTTCATAGAGACCGAAAATTTTTTTAGCTAAAAGCTAAATTTAAGTATTCCCAGGTCTAGTACAACACATATATTTACTATATTAGGCCGACGATAGCGTGTAATAGGCCCAGAAAGTTTTCAGTTTGTCCAAATAACACAAAAGTCAACTTTCTGGCGGTCCATCACTACATACTGGTAATTCTGACCACATCGTTACTATAAGTACTTTCATTTTAGGAGGATGGGCTGATATACGAGAAGGAACGAGCTATATATACTTTTTAGCACTAACAGGATGGAGGGAGGGAGAGAGCGGGAAGGAGGAAGGGAGAGAACAGAGAGGATAGGGACAGTGAGAACAGAAGGAACACAATCACGTGATTGTAGGGGGCGGGTTGGATGTTGATATTTCTTAAAATGTTACACCGAAGCCAACCCCCAACAGGCCTATGACACTCCCATACCCCACATGCTTCATGTGTGAAGGTTGTGTGAGACAAGCCCTAAGCATCTCAACTCCATCCTTGGACACACACAAACAGACATTGATCAGTTCTGTCGGGTACTTCCCCTGCACCCGTCTGGGATACTCATGTGTAATGGAAATTGGCTTGCAGGTTGCAGAAAAGAGGAAATATCAGCATTGTGGAGAAACAGATCACTGGAACATTAACGTAGTGAAGAAAGTAAATTATTAGAGATTTAACAGCGCAGTTGTTAAACACATTGGACATAATCTTACTAAAGCCAACATACGAGTCATAAATACTCAAATTCCGTCCAAGAATAACACTTCGTGGGCCAGCCAAAGGCTTAAGAACCGCACAAGAATATCCATGCACAAAAAAAAGCGCTGTAGGGTCACAACCGAAAGATCTATTTTCAATTTCCGAAGGACAAAACCGATTGGACAACATTTCATTTCACCAAATGCCTCTATTCACCTAGCAGCAGGTAGATGCCCAAGAGTTAGGTAATTGTTGTGGATTGCCTCATAAACAAAGAGGGGAGGGGGGTCTCATTAACCTATCCACGACTGGGAAACAATGAGTTAAATAAAATAAGCAAAAGGAGAACTCAACGTATACAAATATGGACGACGGTAGTGTGTGACCGTCCTGCAGGAGAGCCAAGACTGCAGTGAGACGACAAGGACGGCTAGAAACGATTACAGTTATGCAACGGGAAGAAAAAAAATAAAAGAAAACGAAGAAGGGCAAACTAATCTAAACTGACAAGTCACTCTTACGTGAACAAAGCATCTGGAAGCTCGGGGACTCCTGGCTCAACCCTGACGATGTGCAGACGTCTGGTCACCCGCTCTGCTCGGGTGCCGCCGGACAACGTGACTCGTGTTGACCATTGGGTCCTGATATTGCCGTCATGCATTCCTCTTCGACAGTCCAGCTTGATGCTTGCCGATCAGTGGCTACGGGAAAGTGAGGGCTAGATCTTTCAGCCCCGCCTACTAGCCTTGTTATACCTGTTGCGTTATTATCTAACTATTCTGATATTCAATCTTTTTTCGAATCTGTCCTTTAAATTTTGAAAGGTGGCTTCCACACTTTATTTCCTCAGTGCATTCACAACACCTGACGCATTTAACGCCTGGGATCACAAGAAAATTAATAAGATTCGCGATTGGATCTTAATGCGGAGAGTGTCAGGTGCCGGGTTGGCCAAGAGATGCTGCAGGAGTGCAAGTTTTGCATGTGGCTTTTTGATGTGTCCCGGGAGCGTGGTGGGACTCTTGGGTGCTGGAAAAAGCAAAACGCCAAGAAAAGGACACTGGAAAACGTTTTTGCCCGATTGGATTCGAGTTTAGGAAGGACCATCGCAGTTATGGCGTTTAGCCGCGACTTAATTTATCAATCCATAGTTCACAGGACGCAAGACACCTTTGTCGTCTGTGGTCACTGGATGTCGACAGTGTTCCAGGAGGTTTTCTGTGTGGGGTGGGATCTAGTGGTGACCTTTCTGGGGGTCTCCAGGCAACCTATCCTCTTCCACCCTCAACCTGTCCTCTTCCACCCTCAACCTGTCCTCTTCCACCCTCAACCTGTCCTCTTCCACCCTCAACCTGTCCTCTTCCACCCTCAACCTGTCCTCTTCCACCCTCAACCTGTCCTCTTCCAAAGAACGTCGCATTTCGCTAGTATGCGTTACATAAGGCCAAAAATTGTCGTGCTAGAAAATGGGAGCAGCTCGCGAAAGTAACGTACTGTCCCGCTTTTTTCTCCTCTGGTAGGTTACGAGAGAACACTTTAAATTGACAGTTTTCTTGAGGTTGGGAAACCTTAGGATGACGGGCTGCTCCAGGGCCTCACCCATGTACCTAACAATGTGTTTATCTGCCGCTAGACATATGTTTTCCGCCGACAGGCAACGACTATATAGTTGTAAGGCTTTGCCGGGGCACATCCGGGACGAGAGTAGTCATAGACTTAAAATAAACAACAACAATACGTGGGACTTCAAGATATTTTAATGGAAAATTATAAAATGAGCGTAGCTTAGCTGTAACCAAGGAGGAGAGGGCGTAGCCTAGCTGAAACCTCGGAGGAGAGAGCGTAGCCTAGCTGTAACCTCGGAGGAGGTGGCGTAGCCTCACTGTGACCAAGGAGGAGGGGGCGTAGCCTAGCTGTGATCGTGGAAGGAGAAGTATGGGGTCTCTGAGAGATAGATGACCCTGGAAGGGATCGAATCCCCAGCAGTGACCATGGAGGAGAGTATATAACACAGTGAGAAGCAGCATTCAGCATCACATCTCCACCAACCAACACCATGACCGTAGCGAAGGTAAGACTCGCTCTGTCTCTTGACATGTGCAACCCTCTATACTGATACACAAAAATTGCTCCGTTAATTATTCAACAACTTTCGTTTGCATCATAATTTCTAGAGTGATTGACGAACAGCAACTAATGTGGTTATCAGCTTATTAATGCGGTATTGTTGTGTATATCAACTTTTGTTTTCATGAAGAATGTTGATATAATCATTTACTTCAAAGTCAAATGTTGTGGAAAGACTTGACTGTGCCGAGAACATGTTTAATAACATCAAGATTACTGCTATCCTCGCTGTAGTGAGTGTTGTATATCTTCCTGTGATTAAATTCTACTCTTGCACTCCAGGTTGCAGTCCTCATGAGCATGGTGGCTCTTGTCATGAGTGAGACATCCTACCTCCACTCTGCTCCTGTCCACCATGGGACTACAGTCATCCATGAGGGTCCAGTCCATCACTCGTCTTCAGGTTATCATGGTGGCTCTGTTGTTCACGGTGGCTCAGTTATTCACGGTGGGCCAGTTGTTCACGGTGGCTCAGTTGTTCACGGTGGCTCAGTTGTTCACGGTGGGTCAGTTGGCCATGCTGGTGCAGTTGGCCATGGTGGTGCAGTTGTCCATGGTGGCCCAGTTGGCCATGGTGGTGCGGTTCATAAGTCAGTGAGTAAAACATTTCATTTATATCGTCGTCAATTATATTTGTAACGAATTTGTTACAGAAACATTAATTTATATATGAAATACCTTTCCTCTAAATAGTAAGGAATAAGCTATTAATTCATGTGTGTAATATGTATATAGATATATGTATGCAAGCATTGTCGTATTTAGAACATGACGTTACTTCTCACATCAAAAATATTTGAGTGGTTATATATTTTTTATAATAATTCCAATTTGAATAACATTTAGTGGCATTTTAGTAGATACGTGTAGTGGAGGAAAGCTTAACACACAATACATATATAATGAGACAATTACGCTGTACATCAGGCCTCGCCACACTACAACTTCGCTTACGGTGTCCACGACGACTACTCCGGCACCAACTTCGGTCACAGTGAGTCCCGGGACGGCTACAAGACAGAAGGGAAGTACTTCGTCAATCTTCCCGACGGTCGCATCCAGACGGTCAAGTACTACGCGGACGAGCACGGCTACCACCCGGAGGTCTCCTACGAGGGCGTCGCCCACTACGACACCAACACCCACCACAAGTCCGGCCCTGTCCACGGGGGAAGCTACCATAAATAGGCTCCCGTGTGTCGAAATAAATGATATGTATATTCTTGACAAGGCGTTAAAAATATTTATCATGGTGTAAAAAAATTGTTTCCCATTGAATTTGTAAATTAAAATTTAACTTCCCAATTTGTAAATAAAGAAGCGCAGATTTAACGAGTTGTTTTAATTAAATATACACTCATGCAGAGAGCTCTGATATATAGAGTCTTGCATTATTGCTAAATACGCCATTAGTAAAGGTGTTCAAAATGTTAACAAGTTCTTATGTGCGATGATTGGTGTAAATCTCAAGGATTTTATATTGAATTTTATTGAATACTTCATACAGGAAGGATGAATTCAAAGGACGGTAAGGCAAGGTAATTATCACAAGAAAGTGCCAAGCTAATTTAGTAACAGGACAAGGAGCCGGGATATGCTGCCCAATTACTTGAAATCAAAGTAACACTGTGTCTCTAACAACCTTTCCAACGATGATCTCTAATGATGAACCGTCAAAGCGGAAGATAATCAACAGAAAATTATACATTCAGATTAAGAAATAAATGCTATCAAATGTATTACATTGAAATCCCAGCACTAAAAACTGCATACAGACTACAGCCTTCCTGGTTAAGCTGCAATCGGTTGGACGGTTGGCCAGTTGTTAACGATATAAACTGGACTGTTGGCCGGTCTTCACAGGGAGAAGTAGGCATCTATCACTCTCAGGAGACTATGGAGCTGCGCTCTGGTTGTCGGTCTGGAGTGGCCTCTCCAGGGCGCAAAGCCAGTGTAGGTTGATATGGAGGAGAAGCTGTTACCTATGCAGCAGGTTCCCCCTCTCCCCACGGCGCCGAAACTCTCCAATAGAAAGGCAAACGCCAATACGATTGGTTCCAGCGCTGTTGCAGGAACTGTGAGCTCCGGAGTTGACCTCGAGGTTGGCGAAAGAAGGCACAGGGACTCCAAACCCGGAGACCGCCGTGGTCGGGGCCGGAGAAGAACCACCCCCAGGGTATGAACGACCCCAGCCTCCTGAAGTAGAGCCTGGAGGCCGCACGAGCCCCAGGAGGTGGACGTCCCGGTCCCGCACCGACGGGTTCCAGACAGGGAGTAGGCTACCGTTTTCATGTTCTTGATATATTTACGGTGACATTACATGGCACTGGTTTTATCGTCGATTTTCACTTGACAATGTTCTTAAAGAGACTCAATGATACGTCATGTCATGTCCAGAGCAATATATGAAAGCGGTGCTATATATCATATAGCTTTCACCCCTACAATATTCCAAAACTTTTTTGGAATATTAAATGGTTTCTTCAGTTTCAACAAGAAAGGAGAATACAAAATGAAGGCGACACTAATTCTACCTTTTCATGAAAATTTGTAATTCCTAAATTATTAAATAAATTAATATCACCGGAATTTTTTCAAATTTTTGTTGTTTATATCGTTGATATAAAAAAAATATCGTATTCAAAGAGCCGTAGCATCTATAATGGTATTGTTTATAAAATATACTGCAAAAGTTGCCATAATTTATTTGAGGGTCGAACCTGGGAACACATTGACTAGAGGATAAAGAACACATATATAGCATAGGTCAGTTGTTGGAATTTCGATAGTCTTTTGAACAAATCCACAAGGGCCGTGACGAGGATTCGAACCTGCGTCCGGGAGCATATTTGTTCATTTGATACATCACGTTATTGTGATTTGTGTGTGTTCAATAGTCAATATTTCAATGGACCAGTTGTTCTTTTGAGGGCTTCAGACTATCTGATTGGACAACATTTATTGAAAATTGTTTAATGTAAATCTGTTGTTGAATGAAATATAATGGAATCTTCTTGCATTAAAAGTAGTTAATTTAGTAACATTATTATAAGCTAGAGATGATATACGTTAGATAACTTCATAATTGATGAGATATGTGATCCATGTGTAGTTGTGTAAATAGGTATCTCACCAGCTGTAGAAGTCATACCACCTCCTACAGCTATCTGTTTATGGTCCACTTACGTGGGGGTGTCTGTATATATATCATTACCCTTACCCCATGTAAACTACAGTAGGAAGTAAACTATGTGCAGTTTCCTTCTTGAAAATGTGTTACTATGTTGTTATTATCCAGCCAGTCATTTTTCCTGCAGGTGTGACGGCTACTTTACCGTATTCTTTAAAAGTCAGGTGTGTCAACTTACTCTCAAATCTTTTATGGGGATTTTTGTCCTTTTATTGCGTGATTTGACGGCGTTTTATATGTGGTTTCCGTTTTGATAAATTGATAAATTTTGATTTAAATTTTGATTTAGTTTTTACCATAACGAAGGAGAGCTGGAAGTTATTTCTATTTAACATGTTGTTTTCTGTGGTCAATTGGAAGAAATAATTTACATAAGTTTTAGAGTTTTGCCGACTTCTATCTATAGTGCATGCATGCAGAGGGATTCGAAGCCAGGAGTTAAATGCACCACGGCGTACCCGGTGCTTTAACCACTCGACCAACCGTAACTGTAAAAAAGACGTTGGTAGCCAAGGCTATTTCCCCAACATCCCGACAGCACTTGGTGGTAAGCTTGGGCATAGATATTTCATCGAACACCTCACTTTGTGGCGCCACGAGAGGAACACGTGGTCCCACACAGACACAGCATTACTTTGACTTCAAGTAATTAGGCATCATATCCCAGCGCCTTGTCCTGTTACCAAATTGGCTTGGCACTTTCTAACATAATTACCTTGCCTTACCTTCCTTTGATTTTATCCTTACTGTTTTAAGTATTCAATAAAATTCAATATAAAATCCCTGAGACGTATACCAATCATCGCACATAAGAACTTGTTAACATTTTGAACACCTTTACTAATGGCCCATTTAGAAATAATGCAAGAGTGTATATATGAGAACTCTGCAAGAGTGTGCTTTTTATAGTGAATATTTAAGGAAGACAACTCTATAAAATCTGGATTTCTTTATTTACAAATTGAGAAGTTAAATTGGAATTTACAATTTCAATGGAAACAATTGTTTGACACCATGATAAACGTTTATAACGCCTTGTCAAGAATATACATATCATTTATTTCGACACACGGGAGCCTATTTATGGTAGCTTCCCCCGTGGACAGGGCCGGACTTGTGGTGGGTGTTGGTGTCGTAGTGGGCGACGCCCTCGTAGGAGACCTCCGGGTGGTAGCCGTGCTCGTCCGCGTAGTACTTGACCGTCTGGATGCGACCGTCGGGAAGATTGACGAAGTACTTCCCTTCTGTCTTGTAGCCGTCCCGGGACTCACTGTGACCGAAGTTGGTGCCGGAGTAGTCGTCGTGGACACCGTAAGCGAAGTTGTAGTGTGGCGAGGCCTGATGTACAGCGTAATTGTCTCATTATATATGTATTGTGTGTTAAGCTTTCCTCCACTACACATATCTACTAAAATGCCACTAAATGTTATTCAAACTGGAATTATTATAAAAGATATATAACCACTCAAATATTTTTGGTGTGAGAAGTAACGTCATGTTCTAAATACGACAATGCTTGCATACATGTAATATGTATGTACAAATGTAATATCCATATACATATTACATATATGAATTAATAGCTTATTCCTTACTATTTTGAGGAAAGGTATTTCATACATAAATCAATGTTTCTGTAACAAATTCATTACAAATATAATTGACGACGATATAAATGAAATGTTTTACTCACTGACTTATAGGAGTCTTGATGAACTGCACCACCATGGCCAACTGACCCACCGTGAACAACTGGCCCACCGTGAATAACTGAGCCACCGTGGATAACTGAGCCACCGTGAACAACAGAGCCACCGTGAACAACAGAGCCACCATGATAACCTGAAGACGAGTGATGGACTGGACCCTCATGGACGACTGTAGTCCCATGGTGGACAGGAGCAGAGTGGAGGTAGGATGTCTCACTCATGACAAGAGCCACCATGCTCATGAGGACTGCAACCTGGAGTGCAAGAGTTGAACTTTATCACTGCTGGAGTGTAAGAGAGAGAGAGAGAGAGAGAGAGAGAGAGAGAGAGAGAGAGAGAGAGAGAGAGAGAGAGAGAGAGAGAGAGAGAGAGAGAGAGAGAGAGAGAGAGAGAGAGAGAGAGAGAGGGTGGGGGGCCGGCAGACAGTTAAACTGAGTAGGCAGACGATCAGAGAGAGTAACCAAACAGAACTAGTTCCAGGAGAGTAATCAGACGAACAGAAAGAAGACATTAGTGTCATTTGAGAAATCAGTTTACGTCTGTCTGTGACTGAATGGTGAACATTTCCGTGATTTATATAACTTTTCTTTCTGATATCTGTTAAATTGTGAGCACCTGTAGTGAGCACTGCATATTTATTTCACTAATTTATTAACGTACTTTACATGCCATTGCAACAGTGGAAGCTTGAAGAGACCCATTAATTTTGGTTTCTATAAGGAAGCATATTGACACACGCGTTGCAGGAGTCCATATGAAGGACTATTGCACGTTGCAATACCAGGCCAGGAAGATATACAACACTCACTACAGCGTAGATAGCAGTAACCTTAATGTTATTAAACATGTTCTCGGCACAGTCAAGTCTTTCCACAACATTTGACTTTGAAGTAAATGATTATATCAAAACTCTTAATGAAAACTGAAGTCGATATATACAACAATACCGAATTAGTAAGGTGATAACCGCATTAGTAAGGTGATAACCGCATTAGTAATCTGATAACCGCATTAGTAATCTGATAACCGCATTAGTTGCTGTTCGTCAATCACTCCAGAAATTATGATGCAAACGAAAGTTGTTGAATAATTAACGGAGCAATTTTTGTGTATCAGTATAGAGGGTTGCACATGTCAAGAGACGGAGCGAGTCTTACCTTCGCTACGTTCATGGTGTTGGTTGGTGGAGATGTGATGCTGAATGCTGCTTCTCACTGTGTTATATACTCTCCTCCATGGTCACTGCTGGGGATTCGATCCCTTCCAGGGCCATCTATCTCTCAGAGACCCCATACTTCTCCTTCCACGATCACAGCTAGGCTACGCCCACTCCTCCGTGGTCACAGTGAGGCTACGCCACCCCCTCCGAGGTTACAGTTAGGCTACGCCACCTCCTGCGAGGTTACAGCTAGGCTACGCCCACTCCTCCGTGG